ACTCCTTATTACGGGTTCCCATAGTGTATTCATTTCTATGCTTGGTCGGCTCAGGTAATTTTTGTGGCCTAGCATATGTGCTGATTCCTTAAGTTTACAAATTTTCCAATGGTGTTCCCTGTCTATGATCTCAACATGATCCCACAGGGGACGGTGATCTCCCTTCTCTCTCCATATGTAGTCAGCCACGCCTGATTTTTCCACTTCCCCTCGTGTTACAGCTTTCTGGTGTTCTTGAAGCCTTACCTTAAGGGGGCGACCTGTCTCTCCTTTATATTTCTTTCCGCAGTTGCACGGGATAGCGTACACACAGTCTTTAGTCATGTTCTCCTCTATGGGGGGGGTCTTACTCTGTTTATTTCTCGCTCTGTTGATGGGGGACACAGGAGTGTCCGAAAATTCCAGACTTAAAACCTTTCTTTCCGTGCTTCATTTCTGTTAATATGGTTAATAATTAATATTTAAGCAATGTTTTTCGTATTGATTATATTGGTACCCTTTCGTTTGTCCTGGTTTTATTAACTAACCTATCTATTTTACACACACACACACACACACACACACACACACACATATATATATATATATATATATATATATATATATATATATATATATATATAATATATAAATTTTATATATATATATATATAAAATCCTGACGGGTACTGACACCGAACTATGGGAAGAACTCTGTGTGTAGTGGTTCTGAGAGTCTCACCAGCGAGGAGTCCAGCCGAGTAACAATAACTACAGTGAGTTTCAACCGGCAGCAGGTCAAATCTGCACATAGGATTGAATTACCCTCAGTATATTCAGGGTGGTGATGATACGGCATCACTGGTTATAGGGCTTCCTAGACTGAAGGTCACAGCCATGGTGGATGATTCTTCTGCTGAAATTAACGGTTACGTGTCTATATCCAGGGCGAACCTTAAAGTCGAGAGACATCAACTGTGATTTTGACCTGGAGAGTCTCTTTCAGGCTAAATTTATACAAGACACGCTACAAGTAAATGAATACCCACGAGACATTTAAAGGGAGCCAGTCAGATGTTCAGCTGCGCAGCGACCCTACGACTATATCCGGTCATAGAAATGATGATGACGAGGAGGATATTTTGGGCGCTCCAGAGTGGTTATAATGCGTAAAGAACTAGATTTAGACACGATAAATGCTGGATCAACTTTAATCTACAGACGGAGTTTCATCCACGTGACCAAGTTTTTAACCATTTCACCCCAATCAAGGCAATAAAATCACTAAGACGCAAAGGGTTACTGAGTGTTAAAGAACATAAAAGAAATACTATTAAGAAGAGAAAACAATAACAGAACAACAATTAAGAAGACAAAGATAAAAGTTGACTGGGAAGCAAAAAGTCAGGGGAGAGTTCCACAAGCGATAAGTGCGATAAAAGAAACTGTTAGCACAGAACTTATGGTAAAATCTAGCCATTTCAATTGTAAAATGATGAGACCTACCTGCCAATCTAGTACTAGGCTTAATTTCATAAAGTCTAGGTGCCATAGAGGAAAGTGATATTTATTTGCATGATAATACAAAATGTAGCACAAGGCCCAAATGGGGAACGGGCAAAGGATGGTCTTCATCTGTCTTGACATTAAACTTAGCTCGCCACAAACACTGGCCCAAACATACCACAATATTCTTAACACCAAAAAATACGTATTCATACTTACCTTTCTTACTACATCCACCATAATACCTCATTGTCTCTATGAAAATCCTAACTAGTCCGCATATGTACAATTCATTGTCTGTGGTGGGGAAAATAACAATTTAGAAATTTAAAAAGTAAGGACAATTTAAAAAAGGATTTATAAAAGAAAAGAAAGTTTCGTCAGGACAATTATAATGAAAGTATTTATAAAACAAAGCTACGTTTACGTTGGGCACTAAAAGTGAGTGAAGTCGAAATGGTTTACCTGCTATTGTATCTATTTTGTTGATGTTATACAGATTACCATTTCATTTCCAACCTCCATTTTGGATATTCCTCATTCAGTAATCCATCCTAGGTTACAACAAAATGAAAGGTCAGGGCCAATAATCTATAGAATGTATGACGCGCATGCAAAAACACATACACACACGCCATTCCATTTCTGAATTAGTAAAAAGTCAAATGTGCTTAGAACTATTAAATAAGTATTAAAAAAACTAAGAGAAATATTAGTCAATATTAGATATTATTTTTCAACAAAATAAAATGAAAATATAACTTCAGAAAAAATGGATAAATTAATTTCTGAACTTTCTAAAAATTAAGATTTAATTAAACATTTATACATTTTAAAATGTTTAATTTATACATTTAAAATGTTTAATTTATACATTTTAAAATCCAAAATTCATATTTATTCAGAAGTAGTTGAAATGTTTGGGATACATAATAAAGAAGCGAGAAGTGTGATAGATAAAACTGTCTTAGAACTTAAGTTTAAACCTTAAATTCTATGACAGATTTATAATTTTTGTAACTATTTCAACTGTAAAAGCATGAGACCTTGCTACCATAGAAGTACCATAGAGAAAAGTGTTTTCTTATCTGCTTTACTTTGTTCGTATCTATTTCAGTCTTTTCATAGATGTCTATCAAGCTCAACATCTCACTCTTTATTTCTCTGTCTACAATGTTGTTCATATCTATCTATCTATCTATCTATCTATCTATCTATCTATCTATCTATCTAAATTTGCATCCAGGTTCTTACATTTCACCTTTCTTAACAAACCTGTTGTCACATTGTAGGGTATTTAAAAAAAAACAGCGATAAAAATAAAAGCAAACGCGTTGATGAAACTAGCATTTAAAATTTACTATTCCGACATCATCAGTATTTTCTCTAGGTGCATAAGCAACAATTTCATTTATATTTGCACCCATATATATATATATATATATATATATATATATATATATATATATATATATATATATATATATATATATGATCCCATCACTTAGAACATTATCTATCTATTTATCTAAGTCTACTATCTATCTATGTATCTATTATTTATCGAATTCTGCAAGTTTTATAATTTTTGTAACCGTTACATCTAACCATTTCATCTGTAAACGAATGAAACCTTGCTGCCAGTCTGGTATTGTGCTTAAATTCAGAAAGTCTAGGTACCATAGAGGAAAGTTTATCAGAACAATTACTATGAATTCTATATGTTTTTTATATATATTTTATACTATGAATTCTATATGTTATTCTATATTCGTCTTGTGATGAGGTTATTAGAAATCTAGCTTAGAAGACTATATATAATTGTACAAGAGAGCTCCATCCTGTTCTACACTTTTAGTCTTGTGCTGGACTAAGATAACTTAGCTTGTTCTTAAAAGCAGATTGCAAACAGGAAATCAATTCACCGAGAAAGAATCTTTCTATCTTTCATGGGTGCCTTGCGTTCATCTAAAGGAAATTCTCTTCGTAACTTTTATCTCGTGTGACGTCATATATTGATTTTGTTCTTCGCCAGCGAACGATGTCCGGCGTTCTATCATCAGGAGATAATTCTAATGACGTCACAATGGCCACCAGTCTGCAATGAAGAGGTAATGCGCTATATTTGAATATCATCAAAACCGATCCTTGTTCCTTTATTTACCGCTTCTGTCGTTACAGTATACGCCAACACACTCTCCAATATACAAAGGCTTACTTTGTAGCTGATATAGATCATTTCTTATTCCATATTGGAGTCAGATGTCAATGTTATATATAATACAACTTTACTCGTACTGCCATAAATAAATGACGATCATATTTTACTAATTTTAAAAATGCATTGCACTTATAAAATACCAGTAGCCATAACCAGCTGGTCGATCAGAAAAAGCGTTCAATTAGAATGGAGCAAAAACGGCATCATGTTTATAGGTAACAGAGTCTATCTTCTTCAATTACTTTAAAGTACTTTCATTAAAAAAAACATTTTGAATTAATGCAGTTACTGACATAACAAAAGTAGTCGGTATTTATTTAATCGAAGTTAGCCAAGGATATGAAGGGATAAAACAGGCAACATAAAGACCCACTTGAGACCACATTTTGGAGTTTTTGAAATTCAATTTGTCAGTGTTCTACCAGGGATGTAAAAGAGGATACATTTATAAAGCTTACTAAGTTTAATTAAAATTGATTGAAAGATCAACGAAAAATAAGAAAAAAAACAGTAAAAATCACCATTTCTCGCTATTTACGCGGGTTTTCACTATATGGGTGACATCAATTATCAAGTTAAATGACTGTTAAACAATCAACGTATTGTTGGCTAGAATTGAGTGAAGTTTGTATTAGATTGCTTGAAAATTGAGGGAGTTTTTACTTTAAAATTCGGGTTGAAATCGATTTGTGTTGAAATCGATTTTTCGTTTGTCGGTGTTTTTCGCTAAACGTAGTGGCGTAGAAATAAAGATGAGGTATTGTTGAACTCATCATGATGTAAGTAACCTAGATACCGAGTTTGAATGAAATCGGAGAAAAAAAAGTTGAATTTATCGATTTTTGATCGGTTTTATCGATTATTGATTTTTTTTAAATTATCGATTTTTTATGACAAGGACATACCTCTTACATTGTACAATGTATGTGGCAAGTTTTGTCAAACTCGGTTGGATGGATCTCGAATGAAAAGGTATCACACAGACAGACACACAGACATTCTCTGTTATATATATATAGATGAAAATCTTTACGGTGTTATGTATTTCCTAAGTCGTAAAGCAAAATTAAAATCGTTTGCCTTTTATCTATGTTATAAATAAAAACAATTATCTTTTTTTTTTCATATTCATACCTATTTATAATTTTAAAGTTTATTTATCTACAGTGGATTACAATTTCAGAAAATATTTCTGGAATAAACATGTTGTGGAATTTTATTCCGTTATCAGAAGAATCCACGACACAAACATGGAGCTTTACGGCCACATCACATTGAAAAACCGATTCATGTAGGAAGTTAAGCAACGTTGAGCCTAGTCAGTACTTAGATGAGGGACCCCATGGGAATACCAGGTGCTGTAAGC